CGGGGACGAGGAACGGCGGAAGAATGCTACGTTCTTGTGCGTGTGCCTTTGACCTGGGAGTCCTCTAAGGGGAGCTAGAGAGCTAGTGGAGCCTGGGGGATGGGGCACTCCGCACGTCGGAAGGCTGTCGGAAACGATCCTCGGCAGCTGGGCCACATCCCGAGCCCTTTGTGGCCGCAGTGGCCCAGTGGCTCACAGTCTCACAGTGGCCCAGTGGCTTACAGTCTCACAGTGGCCCAGTGGCTCACCGTCTCACAGTGGCCGCAGTGGCCGCAGTGGCTCACAGCGGCCCAGTGCAGCTTCCCTTTTGGATCGTTCACCTCGGCCACTGCCGGTTTAAACAGCCGGGTCAATAAAGTCGCCCTCCATCGCCGGCTGTACCTTGACCACCGTCGCCGATTGCTCGCTCCTCCTTCTCTCTCCCCCCCTTCTTCTCCCCTCCGGCTTCGCTTTCTGAACATAGCTTTTTACAAGGTACTCTCTACCATTGCTCTCCTTCTGCTTTATACCCTGAACGTCCCCCTCGTCATAGTCTGACCCTGGTCACTGCCTGTGTGTCTTGTCATCGCTACAACCCCCCCACCCCTCTGGTTGTCCGTCACATCATAAGGTAGGAAGTAGGTCAATTCACCTAGGTACACAACACAATGTCTTCTGCGGCGCTCTGCATGAGGACAGTACGAGCCTATGCTCGCCATGGCTCCAATGTAAGCTCTCCTGTACTACGCCGACTACCTGTCAATGGCCGGCGGCAGCCATGTCACAGGCAGCGAGACTGACACGGGCCAATGCAGACCACACCCCTCCTGGCGCGCGCCTTCTCGGCGTCCAGCCGCAGACTCGAGATCAACAAGGTGTTTCCCTCGGCGGCCGAGGCGCTCAAGGACATGAAGCCCAACTCGACGCTGCTGTGCGGCGGCTTTGGCCTCTGCGGCGTGCCCGACACGCTGATCAACGAGGTGCTGAAGAAGCCCGAGCTCACGGGTCTCACGGCCGTCTCGAACAATGCCGGCACGGACACGTCGGGGCTCGGGCAGCTGCTCAAGACGAAGCAGATCAAGAAGATGGTGGCCAGCTACATTGGCGAGAACAAGACGTTTGAGACCATGTACCTCACGGGCGAGGTCGAGCTCGAGCTGACGCCGCAGGGCACGCTCGCCGAGCGCTGCGCCGCCGGCGGCAAGGGCATCCCGGCCTTCTACACGCCGGCGGCCTTTGGCACGGTCGTGCAGACGGGCGACCTGCCGCTGAAGAACAAGGCCGACGGCACGCCGGCCGTCTTCTCCCACCCCAAGGACGTCAAGGTGTTCCACGGCAAGCCGTACCTGCTCGAGCACAGCATCGACGGCGACTACGCCTTTGTCAAGGCCTACAAGGCCGACAAGCTCGGCAACTGCCAGTTCCGCCTCGCCGCCCACAACTTCAACGGCGCCATGGGCCGCAACGCCAAGATGACCATTGTCGAGGCCGAGCACATTGTCGAGCCCGGCGAGATCAGCCCCGAGGCCATCCACCTGCCGGGCATCTACGTCCAGCGCGTCGTCCAGAGCACCGAGGACAAGAAGATTGAAAAGTACACGTGGGCCAAGGACGACAGCGACAGCGACAGCGACACGTCGGTCCAATCGGCGCTCGGCTCGGGCGACACGGCGGCCAAGCGCGAGCGCATCGTGCGGCGCGCCGCCAAGGAGTTCAAGAACGGCATGTACGCCAACCTCGGCATCGGCATGCCCATGCTGGCGCCGGGGTTTGTCGGCCCCGAGGTCGAGGTGCAGCTGCAGTCGGAGAACGGCATCCTCGGCCTCGGCGCGTACCCGAAAAAGGGCCTCGAGGACGCCGACCTCATCAACGCCGGCAAGGAGACGGTGACGCTGAACCCCGGCGCCGCCGTCTTTGGCAGCGAGGAGAGCTTCGGCATGATCCGCAGCGGCCGCATCAACCTCACCATCCTCGGCGCCATGCAGGTCAGCAGCACGGGCGACCTCGCCAACTGGATGCTGCCGGGCAAGGTCAAGGGCTTTGGCGGCGCCATGGACCTCGTCAGCAACCCCAGCGCCACAAAGGTCGTCGTCACCATGGAGCACACGGACAAGAAGGGCAACCCCAAGATTGTCAAGCAGTGCGCCTTTCCGCTGACGGGCCGCGCCTGCGTCTCGCGCATCATCACGGAACTGGTATGTGTCGCCGTGCGAAGACGAGAAGTCATGCTAATCCCACGCAGGGCGTCTTTGACGTCGACTTTGCCCACGGCCTGCAGCTCGTCGAGATTGCCGACGGCGTGACGGTCGAGGAGATCAAGAGCAAGACGGAGGCGCCGTTCACCGTCGCCGAGGACCTCAAGCCCATGCTGTGAGCTGGCTGTTGGTGCGTCAAAACGGAAGGGTCGGTTCGCGCGTGTTCAGATGGATGGGCCTGGGATTTGGGTAGTACTTGATCGCCGGCGTTTCGAGGCAAATCTACATTTGATATGCTCAGGTTGATCTTGACTTGGCTCGGTGGTCGATAGTCTATAATTGAAATGGTCAATAGTCTGTCCGATGTCTGACTGGCCGGTGCATGAGCAAGGCTGACGAGGCTGCGTGTGACACTGTCCTTGGCACAGTAAGCAAGGTACCTACCTACCGACCTACCGACCTACCTACCTACCTACCTTAAGGTACCTACCTACCTAGGTACCTACCTACCTTAAGTACCTACACCAAGTATGCTCCTCAATCCATCACGCACCCTCGACAACCCGCCATGTACGATCGCGAAACGGGCCAGGTCTACAGAGAGACCGTCGTGCCAGGCGCGCCGCGCGGTGCAGAAGCCGACTGGGCGCGACGCGTCGATCTGCCGTCATGGAGGGGTCGTTCCGGCCGAGGCGTCCAGGGCCCCAGGTCCCTCGCCGACATGGCCATGCATACCGTCGCCGAGAACGTTGGGTCTCTCTCTGATGACCATCTCGGGCGGCACGTCTTGCCTGCGAGGATGCTGTGGAGGATCTGGCGTTTGTTGGAGAACCGGTGCGTGTTCGTCTGGCAAGCTACGATGATGATGATCATGATGCTGATCATGATGCTGATGATGCTGATCATGATGCTGACAAGACAGCGGCATCTGCTTCCAAGCATGGAAGACCTTCTCCAAGCTCCTCCTCGCCGAGGACGGGGACAAGACGCTCGACCTCTACCGCTTCCGCCACCACATCTGCCGGCCGTCCCAGGACCTCGCGCGCTACCTGCAGCCTCTGCAGTCGACGTCGGTCGACTTCCTGTGCCACCTCAGCATCAACGGGCCCTGCGCCTTTGACACGAGCGAGCTCCTCGCCCTCGCATCCCTGCGCAACCTCGCCGCCCTCGAGATCATCCAGCCCGCCGCCGCCGCCGCCGCCGCCGCGCGCGCCAGCTTCCCCCGCGTCAGCGACCGCCTCGTGCGCTCGTGGTCCGAGGCCCCGGCCCCCTTCCCGCGGCTGCGCGTCCTGCGCCTCTGGGGCGACAACACCGTCTCGCAGCACTCGCTGCCCTACGTCGCCCGCTTCCCCGCCCTGCGCCTCAAGACAAAGACGCCGGCCGCAGCGCCGTCCCCGCCGAGAAGACGTGCACCCCGACAAGTGGAGGACAGAGGCGCGCCGCATCAAGGAGAGCATGATGGGTACGGGGGGGCGGGACGCTGATGACTGCTCTGAAGCTAGAGGAAAGGGGACAGGAGGAAGGTAAAACCGAATGGGAAGCAGGAAATGCAGGGAAGTGAGAGCGTCGACGGAGGTCCAGGCGAGTGGTC